GATTTTTTCTGAGCCCCTCCCAACACCCCCGTGAGCCCCGTTACAAGACCAAGTGAGCCTGGAGATTCAACAATCGATATCCCTCAAAGATGAAGATGCTAATAACTTTATCCCCTCTTGCCCTCCAACTCCCACCTACATTAGCTCTGACCACAGGCCCCAGGCAGCTGGGACCTGCAGTGGGCGGGCCTGGAGCTGAGTAACCCCTTCAGATCCAGGTGGGAAGCAGGAGGGCAGACCGCAGAAAGGACTTCCTGACACTCAGGATCAGGAGGCCACAGGGATAACAGATAGAAAGCCTCAGAAGCATGTTTCCCACTCCTGGTTGTATACACTGGAGACTCGACTCAGAGTCTTGGAGGATTCATGGCCTCAGAAGCACCCTACAGAGATGCCAAGGTCTGAGTAATCCCTGAGGGCTGCCCAGAGGAGGTGAGCCAGGAGGAGAGCTCCCACTTGGGAGTTGACAGAGTAGTGAATGTGGGCTGCTCTGGCCCTGCTCTCCCTGCAAACCTGGCACTCATCCTTCACCAGGGCTGGAGACCCACAGCCCATGGAGTTTCGGGGGAAGAGAGAAGCCCCTTCCTCCCTCACACACTTCACAGCCAGGTTGCATCTGTCTTTAAAGCTGCTGCAGCTGGAGGGGGTGGTTGGGATCAAGGGACAAGAGCTCTTTTTTTGGTGAGCATTATCCCCCCAAAGGGCTCCCCAGGCGGTGCCAGTGGTAAAGAACCCACCTGCCAATGTAGGAGATATAAGAGACGCAGGTTCAAGCCTTGGGTCAGGAAGGTCCCCTGGAGAAGGAAATGGCAACCCACTCCAGTATTCTTGCCTGGAGAATCCCATGGACAGAGGAGCCTGGCAGGCTACAGTCCAAGGGGTCGCAAAGAGTCAGACATGACTGAGCGACTGAGCGCTCACGCATGCGTGTCCCCCCAAAACATTCTTCCTGCCAGCCTGGCCTATCACACCCCAAAGACCAGGGCCAGGCCTAGGACTGGGGGTGCTCAAAACCTGTCACAGGACAGAGAGAAGGAGGTGGAAAAGGAGGAAGAAGGGTGGGAAAGGGAAGAATGAAAACAGCAAACATTTACAGAGCACCTTCCACCCACCGGTCAGGCGCCACTGGAAGAGGTTTACTCCTGAGACTTGTTTGAACCTCATGATGAGCCTAGGAGATTAGTGCTGTTATCATCTGCATTTTGTAAAGGAGAACACTAAGACACAGAAAGACTGAGTAAATTACTCAGCATCACCCAACTGGTAGGTGCAGAACCCAGCATTCTGGCAGCAGAGTCTCAAGCTTAACCCTCAGGGAACCAAGCCCTGGAAAAAGAGGAAGGGACCCAGCTGAGTGGAAGGGGAGCTGAAGAGCCTCTTAATCCAAGACACGCTTAGAGGCAGGGCTCAGAATAAAACACACTGCCCCGGGACTCTGGCCCGAACCTGGCGCGCTCTTGCTTGTTTCTCTGTGTCCTGCGCGCGCAACTCTTGTTTCCTTGCGTGGCCCCAGGCTGCCTCTCTGTCTCCTTGGGCCCCTTTGCCCCTGTGTGAGCTCCACCAGCTTCTCTGGCCCCGTCTTGTCTCTGTCTCTCCCGGCTCCAGGTCTCTTTTCTCCCCACTGCCCCAGAGCCGAAGCTGCTCAAACTTTCCATCTTAGCGCTGGAGTCCATCAGAGCTGGGGTGGGGGTCAGGGGCCAGAGAGAAACGGTCTGGGAGGGACTGATGCTTAGCGCCACGGAGTCATCTCGCTCCTCCTGGAGGGGAGGCTGAACTGCCTGGTGGTTCAGCCTGGCTAGACTGAAAGTGGGTCTTTCTGAGGCCTGGCTCCTCCTGGGACTGTCAGCCTTTCTCTCATCGAGCAGGTCACTTTAGGAATTGGGTAAGACAGGTTTTCTCTAGCTGGTACTTAGAGAGTCCTTGGCCTATGGAGTCCGGAATTTTCTCTAGGATCTCTCTTCAACTTGGGGGTTGAAGGGGACCCAGGACAGGACGTTCCCAACCCAGACTGCCCCAGCACTCTGCCGGCACTGTTTCTGGAAGCCTAAACAGACGCTCTGCTCTCCTGTCGGGAATCTAGCCCCTGAGGGAGCAGGCAGGAAGGAGGCAGAGGCTGGTTAGGAAAGCTGGAAGTCTTGGACCCCTGGGTTCTGTAGCGAGCCCACCCCACCCCCCCACTGGAGGCGCCTGGGGAGCCACATTGGCTGCTGCATCACTGTTTTCTTCTCTTGCTGGAGGATTTGGCAGAAGCCTCCTTAGAGAAGGGAGTTCTGGGTTCTTTCCTCCATGCTGGGTGTTCTTGCAGGACCCACTACCTCATCTGAGCCTGTCTCCCAACCGAGACAGTTCTCCCTGAGAAGGAGGGGTTGGGGGGGGAACCACGAGAGATCCAGGGGACTCAGATGTCCGACCCCAACAGCCTCAGGTGGCTGTCCCCATCCCAGTCCCCATGGGGTCCTCAGGGCCCCACTGCACTGATCCCCCTGTAGACGTTCATCTCATCTGGGGCTCAGCCCTTGGCGTGTGTGTGGCAGTGGCAGGGGTGGGCAGTGAATGGACTCGGCACAGTCAGGAGGCAATTAACAGGGGAAGGGTGCGTGTCATGACACAGTGGGTGGAGGGGAGCACCATTAAATACAATGGGATCCAATAATTGGGGGAGGGGGAGCTGTGTGCGTGTGCACCCACGTTTGCAGGTACACACGTGACTGTGTGGAGTAGGCAGGTGTGGCTGTCAAAGCACTCATGGGTGAGTCCATCAGTGAAGGGGAGGGACTAGGCGGGGCTCTTAGGCCATGAAGCTGGCAGTGTTGGTGCGAGCTCCCTCCTCACCACCCAGGACAAGGCCCCAGACCCCAACTGCCCAAAGGAATCAGAGTGACTGGCTTCACTGGCTTCAGCACCTGTTCCCAGATCGATAAAAGCTTTTCAGTGCCCCCTCCCACACACTCACAGAATTTTCCCTTTCTTGTCTTAACCTTGTTTCCAGAATCCCTCGCCTCACCTGCCCAGCTTTTCCAGCAACACCTCCAGTTGTGGTATTAAAAGCCTCTGATGCTCTTAACCTTGGAAATGCTCCACATGCCCTGGCAGGTCCCTTCTGCTACCTGATCTCCATCCCCTCTGCTTCAGTGATGCTCAATGTGAGCCAACCCCAGGCCCCCTTGTGCCTCTACCGGCAGAGTCTCCAAGGCTGGAAGTGTGTCCTACCTCCCTCCTCGGCCTGGAAGAGAGGCTCAAGGGGCAGAGGAGGTGGGGGCGATGGGAGTGTGGATGAGCTAGAAGGTGTCCCCCACCCAGGAGGCCATGCTATTCTCCAGGACTGTCTGATTCAGCTACTTGTCCCACCTGTGTCTGTTTAAGCCACCCATCTGCACCTCTGTCTCTCCACTTGTGTCCATCCAGCTGTATGTCTCTTTCCCCTTCTCTGTCTGCACGTTCTCTGCAGTCTCTTGGCCTGTCTCCACGTCTATAGGTCCTCTCCCTTTCTTATTCTGCATGGTCTCTCTCTTCGCACTGTCTCTGGGCTCACCCGTTGGATCTGATCCTCCGACCCTGTCTCTCCCAGCATGGTCCAACCTCCTCTCCTCCCAATCACTTCTGCTTAAGCCCTCCCTCCCCGGGAGTGGTGCCTCACCAGCCCCACCCAGCCCAGGACATGAGAAGAGGGCTTTTGAACTTGGCCTTCAGGGACCAGACCCCCCCATCAATCAACCTGCAGCCTTGGGTCAGACCTCCATTAGCACTAACCAGCCTGGACAAGAGGCAGACACCATCGGGCTAGGCCTCGGGGTGATAAGACCCAGATTGAATCACCGGGGGCGGGGCGGGGGGGCGGGCGGGGAGCCGGACACCCAGGGACAAGAGCCAGCCATGCTGTCGGCCCTGAGGAGCCATAGAGAGCGTGGGTTATTGCAGGAGCTGGACAGGTGATTGGAAGTGATGGGGCTGGAGCGGGGGGTGGGAATTGCTTCTCCCTGCTCCTGGGCGAGGAAGATAGGGACAGGGCCCAGGTCCCAGGGTTGGGGACTTCACCCAGCCTCAGAGTTGACAGAAGGCTCAGGCCACTCAGTAAGACCAGTGGTGTTCCAAGGGACAGAGGGACAGGGAGAGCATACCTCCTCCCTCAGGCAGAATGGAACGGGGAGATGGCCCACCTGGTCCTCAGGAAATAGCCACCTTGCTCAATCCTTGGCCTCCAGGTACGGATCTCAAAGCACTTAGAGCCAAGAAGAGTGACAAAGTGGAAGGAAGAAGGGTCCTGCTTCCCTCAACCACTCCTTTATCCTACGCCTTCCCTGTCCCAGCCACACACACACACACACACACACACACACACACACGTGCATACATGCACCCATATATGCTAGCTCTCCCTACCTATCTTTCTTTCTCAACCATTTGTTGTACTGTGTGCTTGCTCTGTTCTGGGAACTCCAATACAAGGAAGACTCACCCCAGCAATGCTTCCGTCCTGTCCACCACCCCATCTAACTTCAATCCCTCCCACTGTAGCCTTCCTGAATGAAATACAGAGACAGGCAATTAGGGTCTGAAGGTCTAGGAAACTTGACCCAAGTCTCCTTCACCACTACGCAGACAAGATGGCCATGGTACTAGGAGGCAAACCACAGCCCCAAGACAGAGGTGACAGCTGCATGCAGTAGGGGTGGGTGGCTGGGGTTCACCAGAGTGGGGGAGGATCCCACAGAGTCATCCCCTTACCTGAGCCCCAGTGACCCCCTCCCAGAAGGACGTCATCCCAAGAATTGGCAAGAGACACAACCAAGGGATAATAAATATAATTGCTATGACGGAACCCTGCCTAGAGAAGCAGGAACATCCTGCACTCCCAGACCCCACCTGTCCCCTCCCACATGCTGAGGGTGAGTTAGATGCTTTGAGATCACCCTGGGGCTGCTGGGAACCATGGCAGTTGCTGAGGGCAGGCTGCAGTACTCCGCATTTGGCTACCCAGCCCCAGGCCCTAGGCCAGCCTCCTAGCCCAGCACATCCAAGTAGACAGGAGGCGCCTGGGCCAGGGCTTGCAGCCGGGCATGCACATCCTTGATGCTGTGGCGTTGTTGGGGCTCCCGCTGCCAGCAGCCCCGCATAATGGCGTAGACCTCCGGTGGGCAGGCACGCGGCCGCTCCAGCTCACGTCCCTGCGTGATGCACTCGATCGCCTGGGGCCACCAGAGGGAGAGAGGGGAGGGCACACTGGGCTAGGGGCGGGAGAGTGAGGCCAGACCCAGCACTGCCTCTGCCTCACTAAGGCTCCCAAGGCAGGTCATACAATATGTCTGGGCCTCATGGCTCCTAATCATCTAAAAGGATGCAGTGAAGCCTAAGATCCCTTTCCACTCTGACTCTGAGCAGTGACAGGGCTTAGAGCTAGAGAGACCCTGTGAAGGCTGGACTAGGGTAGAATTGCATCCCAAAGGGCTGGAATCAGACCCTCAGAAGACTTGCCAGGTGGATTGAGGAAGGAGAGGGGCCAAGACATTTGCCAAACCATCAGCTAAGTGTTGAGGGCTGATTGGAAGAAGGGAAGGGTTCTCCATCTCTCAGCACCAGAGGGCAAAAAGAAAATAGAGCAGGGTTGCAGGTAACAGACTTGAAAAGTGGGTGGCTTGCATTTTAAGGTAGAGGGCAATGCCACTTTTTCCATCTTCTGTAGGTACCACTCTGTGGGGACCTAGCTCCTCTGACAAGAAACTGCAGTGGGAAAGCTCAAAGCTTGACTCCAGGAAGGACTGCTAGAGAAGCTGACAGATCCAAAGGAGAGAATGTGGCAGGGAGATGGTTGAAGGGCCTGGAGCCTCTTCATCCCCCACTTCTTCCCTCCCTCCCCATTAGAGGACTTGGGTTATGGGCGGCACTAATTCCATTCCTTCTCTCAGTGCTTGAGAAAATTAAAATCTATAACCCTCTCCCCCACCCCACCAGCCTCCAGGGAGCAGACTGCATTAGGAGGAGAAATGGAAACTGACAGCTGCGAGCCAAGGCGGGGGTGAGGGGAGCTGCTCCGGGAGAGGGAACACCTGGGGCCTGCTCTGGCTGCGTCCAATCCGGGGGGCATGGGGAGGTGGGGACTGTCCTTATGACAGTCTAACCTCCAGCCTTCCTGCTGCAGGGTTGGGTGCGCTCCTGCTTTGCTCCTCTTTCCACGCCTCTCCCTTTCGCTCCGATAGTGCCTACTAGGTCTACAAAATGCGGCGGGGGATGGGGGTCTGGGCTCCATTTATAAAGTGCTTTGAGGTTCTCCCAGGAGCCGGTTAAAATAGGAGAAGGAGTAGAGAATAGGGTCGGGGTGGAGGAAGCAGTGCCGGCAGGAGGCCGGATGAGTGCCCGGCGGCGGTGGGATGAGGGGCAGAAGGGGGCAGAATTCCCTAAAACAGGGACCCGAAGGGACAGGGGAGGGGTGGCCGGCAGGCAGCGACCTGCGGAGCGGTACTGACCTCGGTGTTGGAGAGCTGGTACCAGGGTTGCTTGCCGTAGGTGAAGATCTCCCAGAGCACCACGCCGAAGCTCCACACGTCGCTCTCGGTGGTGAACTTGCGGTAGAGGATGCTCTCGGGCGGCATCCAGCGAATGGGCAGCATCGTGCGGCCTCCCACCTGCCGGCGGGCCGGCCGACGCCGCGTCACCTCCAGGGGGCGCCCGCCCCGCGGACAGCCTCTCCCGGCGCAGACCCGCCCCCAGCCCCGTCATTAAAAATAAATAGAAGTGGCTCTCCCTCCCAGGGCTAAGAGGAAAAAACCGATGGTGGCGTGTCCGTCCGGGACAGTGGAGACAGACCCTCCTCCACTGCGCACCAAGGGAGTAGGAGGAGGGTTAAAAAACCAGAATCAGAGAGTCTCAGACCCCACACCGCCCGAGGAAGAGGACGGCGTGCCCAGCAAGGGCAGGCCCTCTTAGGGGGACGCGGCCATGGCGTCTACAGTTTGGAGGCTGGGGGAGGGGTTGGGATGAAAGACCCTTACGCGGTAGTAGTCGGTGCTGTAGATGTCCCGGCTCATGCCGAAATCGCCGATCTTAACCACTAGTCCCTGACCCACCAGGCAGTTGCGTGTGGCCAGGTCCCGATGCACGAAGTGCAGACCTGCCAGGTACACCATTCCCGCAGCAACCTGGCTAGCCACGGCCAGCAGCTGCCCCAGGCCCAGGGGTCCCGGAGCCACGTCCTCCCCGCCAGCCAGCAGCTTGGCATCAGGCCCATGGGACCTTCGAGAAAGAGTGAGGGAGAGGGGATGGGCTAGGAGGAGAGAACCTCGGGGGAGCCTGAGAGAAGGTGGAGGTGGGGGGGAGCTGGGGGAAATGGGGGAGGGACTCAGGGAAGGTAGGAAGGAGAGAACAGGGGAAGCAGGGGTCTGGAGGGGCTTGGATGGAGGCCGGCTGGGGTGCCCACCTCCAGAGCATCCACTAATGCCCACATTTCCCAAGTGCATGCCTTCCTCTCAGGCAGCCACCTTGAACTCCAACCTCAGCATCTAGCGGCCCCCGGCTCCTACACCTCTTGCCCAGCTACATGTCCAACTAAACCCCTGCCAAGATGCTCGGCATCCTCCCCCAGGGGTGCCCCTGCCTCGCGGAAGGGAATGTCCCTCACCCAGGCTGTGAGCCTGGAACCTGGGAGTCCTCCATTCCTGTCTCTCTCACCTTCGCGCTTAGCACTCAGCCTTTCCTGTGGGATCTGCCTTCCCACGGTTTCCATGATGCCCTCCTCCTCCCCACACCTACCCCTCCAGACCATTCCCCAAATATTCCTTCTTCTGAGGCTGTCTGAGCTGGTGGTTTTGTCAGTATTGCCCTTTTCCTGTTGGCCAACTTTCTCCTCATCCGTTTATGCCGTCGTTTATTCCAGATATCCGGTAAACATCTCCAGTGTGCCAGGAACCAGAGCTACAGTGGAGGGTGGGATGCAGATAGGCTGCAGCAGTGCAGTGTGAGGGGCCTCTGCGGGCACTCAGGGCAGGGACGGAAGAAGTGAGGGAAGGCTTCCCAGAGGAAGAGACATCTCAACTGAGACTCAAGCCCTTAGGAAGGGAGGTTGATAAACCACTCGAAGGGATGGGAGACAGGAGTGGGTTATGCGGCTGGGAAAGGAGGCCTGGTGCACCAGGCAGATGGAAACCCGGAGGCGAGGAGAAACAGACGGTCCCTCCTAGGGGAAGTCTTCCAGACTCGTCTAGCTTTCGTGATTCCCTCCTTTGCTCCGTCCACCATATAAAGCTGCTCTCCCCACATCCTGGGCCCCAGATGGCTCCTCGCTGGTATCCGGTCCCTAGCACGGAGCCCACACCATGTCTGGTGAGCAAGGGGAAGGGCTTCTCTTTGGCCTCCTCTTGACCTGGATTCCTCTGAGCCAATCCACCTCCACACATAACCTTGGGTCTGACCTCACCTCCCTCCTGCTCCACATCCTCCCTGGGCTCCTCCCCATCCTCAAGATAAGCTCAGACTCTGGGGTCTTTTCCAGCTGAATTCTGCAGCCTGGCTACGTGAATGACCCAGCACTCTCAGTGGGGATGTTTAGAGACCAAATCACAACCATCAACTGTACAAAGACACTCATCCAGAACCACAGTCCCCCGTTGTTCCTCTTACTGGTGGGGAAACTGAGGCCAGAGAGGGAAATTACTTGGCAAGGAAGGCTCAGTTAACAAGTCACAGTTGATCCTAAACCCTGGCCCTTTCTGCTCCATCCTGCTCCAACCTCAGGAAGGTGGTGGGGGTGGGGGTGGGGTGGTGGTGTCCACCTCGTCAGAGAAGAATTCAGCAAATGGAACACGTGACCATCACACATCCAGATCATTTGTTACTTATGGGCCTTTGGGCAAGTCGCTGAACCTCTCTAAGCTTCATCTGAGAAATGGGTACATTTCTAGAAGTTTAAGTTATTAAACCTATCAGAGTTGTTCTGTCTCAAGCCAAAGAAAGGAAATTTGGGAGAATTTTCCTCAAGTACAAATTGCCATATATGCTAGGTGACTATGAAAAATAAATATACATTTAGATTATTACAAATATGTAGGTATAAGCACATCCAGTCATAAAAAAATGAATTGTAAAATATGTAGCATAGTGCCTGGAACATGGCAAGCTCCTGATAAATGTTTGTTATTGCTGTTATCATCGTGACCCAAACTGCCACCTCCCATGGACCTGGCTTCTGTGTGCCACCCAGCAGTGCACGCACACTCTCCGCAAAGCCCAGCCATCCTGCAGCTTCAGCTCATGGCTTCCGCTAATGCAGTCTCCCTGACACTGTCACTCTGCCCTCCACACGGAGTCTCCCCTCATTCACACATCTGCCTCAGAGCTCCTTGGGGACAGGAGCTATGCCTTCCTGCTCCTTCCTGGTGATTCCCCCACAGTTCAGCAGACAAGCCAGGATGTGCTTGTAGGGAAGGGATGACAGGCCATGGGCCGGGGGCCGTCGTACCGGAGGAAGCGGTTGAGGTCACCGTGCCGCATGTATTCAAAGACCATGAGCAGCGGGCGGCCCTCAGTGCAGACGCCGAAGAAGCGCACAATATGCTGGTGCTGAAGCATGGTGAGCAGCTCAGCCTCACGCTGGAAGTCCTGCCGGGCGCTCTCGGACACCTCCTTCAGCGCCTGGATGGCAGGGGCCGGGACATCCCTGGATGGGGGCCCAGTCTTGACCACCCCGCATCCCAGCTGGCCCAGCATCCACCCCCAAGTCGTGAACTATGCCAGGTCCCAGCCTCTCCCCTCTCCCCCATCTTGAGCACCCTGTCCTGGCATGACAGGGCTCTGGGAGGTGGGCCCTGGACCAGCAACACTTCGTGGCCAGGGTCTTACCTTGACGGCCACTAGCATCTTGTCCTTCTCGGGCAGCAGGTTGTGGCACTCAGCAAGGAAGACCTTCCCAAAGGCACCCTCACCCAGCTCCCACTTGAGCACGATATCTCGGCGCTTGATGTGATGAACACCTGGGGATGGGGGCTTGCAGGATCAGCCAAGAACCCCAATCTTGGAAGAGGGATGGGACAGGGGCAAGGACAGGACTGTCCAGCAGGGTTGTGCTTGGCAGAGGGGGCACCCGGCAAGAGGGAGGGTCACACTGAAAGTGAGCCTTTGCCAAGTCGCATGACATGATGGGGACATGGGTGGTGGGGGGCAGGGAGGAAAGGCTTGTTCAGGCTGCGATGGGCCTGACACAGAGGAACCTCTTCACATGCACACACATGTACAAACACACACACACAGGCTCGCCCCCACCCTTGACCCAGCCCCTCACAGGCATCACTGAAGTATTGTGGGTTCTCAATGATGTGGCCTTGGAGCCCAGAGCCTTTGCCCTCGGAGGGAGACAAGGAGCTGCCACCCAGAGTCATGAAATGCAGGGACATGGCCAATCCATCCTCCGGAGCCAGCACAGCGGGGCCTGGGAAGGACACAGTCGTGTGGAGGGGTCACAGCCCAAGCACACACCCTGGCTCCTGCCAGGTTGCAGGGCGCCAGGTGACCCTACCTCCTAACTTGCATGGGAAGAACCAAGGAGCTAGGAGGCAAGACAGTCGCAGGGGGAAGGGGAGGCACTCCAGCCATTCTCTGTCTGGCTCCTGTCCAATCCCAGGCCCTGTGGGCCACCAGAGAACTCCCCCACTGCCCCCACCCCCCACAGAGCTCAGACCTCCCAGATCCACTTAGTGTTTGACTACAATCCAGCCACCAATTAGCAGCTGCTACTTCTGAAACTACCCTGGCTTCAGCTCCGACACACTCACACTCACGAGTCCTCATATACCCCAAACACCCACTCTGTAGAACCCCATATGTGCCCAGGCCCCCACACAGAGGACGGAGTCGGGAAGAACCAGGAGGAAATAAAGCCAGGAAGACAGACTGACAGACCCTCCGCAGCCCCTCTACTCACGGTTGATCCCAAACTTGTTCCTGCGTCCACATTTGTTGAGCACAAGAAATGTCGTAGAAAGGAAGAGGCAGGCAAAAACGGCTAGGCCCACGGCCATCGAGACCTGGGGGTATGGGGTGGTTGGATCTAGGGGTCATCCTGAACCCTCAGAGTTCCCCACTGGTAAGCTACTTCTCCATCCTGCATAGACACCCAGAGCCAGGCCCCCACACCTGCCTTCTCCTCCCCTGGGCCCCCGAGTCATGGCTGTGAAGGTGTTGATGGAGCTCAGGCCAGACTCTACTGCTCTCTGTGCTCTGACTGGAAATGACATACAGAGGAGCCTCCAGCCCAGCCTCCTAGTCCTAAATCCTGGACAAGCTTCCACTTCCCATGCTCACCCCAAAAGAAGTCTCATCCTTCTCCACTGGGTCTCCGGAAGTGCTGTTGGTGTCTATGGGGACACAGGGTAGAAAGGCTGTGTCACAGGTTGTAGCTCCTCCATAGACTCCCCACTCCGGCCCCAGCTGAACCCTCAAGGGTCAGGTTAGCTGTGCCCCCTGCCCCAGCCCCCAGCTCCAGGGACCAGACAGAACCTGCCCTCCGGCCTGGACGACTCACCCACTGGCGAGAAGGAGACTGCAGCAGGAGGGAGGAGAGAGAGCAATCACATGGAGGAAAAGAGCAGTGAGTCCCCTTCCCCCTCTGGACTCATCCCTTCGTGGGTGGGAGTGGGAGGGGGAGGCAGAGCTGCTCCAGCTGGGCCAGGAATGCCCTGGTTCATGGCTCTCTCTTCAGCCAGCCCTAGTGAACGGAATAACTCAGGGATGCAGAACTCCTGGGGCTGGGGAAGGCAGGGGCAAGGAAGCCAGCACAGAGCTGGACACCAGAACTCCAGGCTACTTTCTGTCGGGGACCAGACCCTCCAACTTCCAGGGTCAGGATCACAGTGGGAAGTGGGCCAGGCCTCCCCGGACACCTGGATCGGCACCCGGTTGGGGTCCAGGGAGTGGGAGCAGGGTTCAGGGTGGCCCTCGCACCAGGAATGGGGTCCTCAGGGTTGAATTCGAAAGGGTTGTCCATGAAGGCGGCCATGACCCACGCGGCAGCCTGGCCCAAGGGGTTGGTGGCCAGCAGCGTGTAGTTGCCGTTGTTGACGTGGGTGGGCTGGTTGAGGCGCAGGCAGCCGTGGCGCACCGTCTCGTTGGCTGCCAGCTCCAGGAACTCGGTGAAGATGAAGCTGGTCTCGTTGAGCACAGAGCCATTGAAGAGCCAGCGCAGAGAGGGCGCTGGCTGCCCATCCACCGAGAAGGGGATGCACCAGTGGTGCTGCTCCACGGCGCTTTGCAGATGCACGCTGGCCGGGACTGCGGGCCGGGGGGGTGACAGTGAGAGTCAGGAGCAGTCCCTGGGGAGGCTGAGGGTGGACAGTCAAAAGGGGGCGAGCCTAAGAGGAGCTGGTCAGCGGGCCCCAAGAGATTCACAAGGAGAGGGGTTCTGAAGAAGGCCGGCAGTAAGTCTTAAATAAATCAGGCAGCAGCTGTATACAATTCTGAAGCTTAAAGAATTTAAGCGGTGGGTTTAAAGTAAATAAGTAACAGTCCTAGAGAAGTAGGGTTCCAGCTTATGGAAATGAGACATGGATTCTTCCAGATGAGGGAATCCAGAAAAATTTAGTGTAGTCAAGTTTAAGGGGATCTGGAAGGGGCCTAAAAGATCAAACAAGCATATATATATATATATATATATATATATATATATATATATAATTTTTAAACTTTTTGGGAAAAAAAAATGGGTTTGAAATAGACCCAACCTGAAAGAAGCAAAAGACCTTCAATATAGAAAAAAGTATATATATATACATATATATATGTATATACGCACATACACACACACACACACATGGGGTTTCTCAGTGGAAAAGAACTGGGTAAAACACTACTGCTAAAGAATCCACCTGCCAATGCAGGGGACATAAGAGACACAGGTTCGATCCCTGGGTTGGGAAGTTCCCCTGGAGAAGGAAATGGCAACCCACTCCAGTATTCTTGCCTGGAAAATCCTGTGGACAGAGGAGTATATATACATGCACAATTGACACTAGAATTCCAGCCAGCATTCATGCAGTGGAATACTATTCAGCAGTGAAATAAATGAACTAATTGTTTCTCCAGTTAACATGAATGAATCTTCCAAATATAATGTAGAGCAGAAGAAATTAGACACAAAATAATGTATGAGGTATGATTCCATTTATATAGTGTACAGGAACAGATAAAACTCAACCATGCTGATAGGGAAGCATATGTGTGTAAAATTATTCTTAAAAGCAAGGAGATGATTGTCACAAAAGTCAGAATGGGGTGGAAGAGAAGGATGGGTTCTGAATGGGGAGAAGGGGGTATCTTCTGAAGTGTCTGTAAGCCGAATTATTGTTTAAAGTATATATGTTTTATGTACATATCTATGTATATTATGTTTCCCAAGAAAAGAAAAAAAACTTATACAATGTAGAAGATTTTAAATAATTTGTTGGCAGACCTAGAGAAATTAGGCAGTGAGCCTAAAGAGAAACTTGCATGGGGAATTTCTTCTTTTAAAACTAGGAAGTAGGGCAATAGTCCTACAGAGGAATGAACTTGAAGAAATACAGGGGAGCAGAGAGAACGGATGTAGCTGGTGTTGAGGGCCTCAGGTAGCAAGACTTGGGCAGGGGGCCAAAAAGAAATCCCTCTCCATCCCTCTGGCCTTGATGAGCCCCCAGGACTTCCCTCAAAGGATCAGGTTTTCATGGGAATCTGGAAACAGCTGGGAGGGAGTAGCTGTGGACACACATACATCCCACCCCTTTCCTGCAGCCCCTGACCCTCACATCCTCTTCAGGGAAGCAGGGGTGGGGGTGGGCGCAAAGGCAGTCACCGGCACTCACAGGAGACATTGACTTGGGCAGAGACTTCAGCCCGGCCCACGTCGTTCTCCGCCCAGCACGTCACGTTCTTCCTATTGAGGTCACTGGTGACATTGGCCAGGGTCAGCCCCAAGGACGGCAGACTCCCAGATTTCTGGGTCAGAGAAAAGAGGGGAAAATCAAGAAGAGCTTCAGCTGGCTTGGGGCTGGAGGCAGCTGGGCAGGGGGGTGAGGGGTGCAGAGCTGATGTCTTTGGGGAACCCCTCTGGCTCCAGGTGGAAAAGAGAGGGAGGGACGGAAAGGGAAGAGGTGTGGGAAAGAATATGGCAGAAAGGGCCCTCCTTCAGAGCCTGTTTGCACCTTCTCCTGGATCACTGATTTAATGATCTGAAAAATCCAGAACACAACCAATAACCTCAAAATAGGTGCAAAGTCTCCCAAACCATAAAACCACCCATCTGAACAGCTGAATAGACGTCACAAATTCCAAGTATGGAAATATATACAACCAACTGGAAAACCAGCTAGGACCTCACCACCTACTCATTCTTGTTTAACACATAATTCTAAGAAATTTAGTCTCAGCCCAAGGAAGATCAGAAACAAAGAGATGGTGCTGATAACAGGGCAGCAGTTAGAAGCAACAGTAGAATCGTAATGAATACCTTTGGCAGATGGAAAAAGAGAGTGAAGTTAGAGAGAAGCTAAGTGACTTGGTTCTGAATCATCATCAAAAGATTGATTCAGATTCACATTCTCTTCCTGAGACACCACGGAGGTTATATGGCCCTAAGACAATTTTTGATCTTTCTGAACCAAGATTTTCTTATTTTGTAATCCGAGGAGGTAGGAAAAATGGTCTTCTGACATTTTAGAAAGCTATTTTCATAAAATGATGACAATAAATGAAGTAGTGGACAAATCTGATTTTTCTGGAAATTTTGTGAATGTGGAATCCCTTGAATACATGCCAGGGAAGGTGAAGTTTCTCTGGGCTTCCACTGGAATATGTGAGTTCAAAGATTCCAGAAGAGCTGTCCAGCCTCTTGTGCAAGCCCTGAGTTCCAGCCACTTGAAGGGGAAGCCCTGCCCTAAGCTTCTGTCGGCTGTTCCATCTCCTCTAAATCACCCTGGAATATCGTATCCCATGAACTCTTCCCTTTGAGCTGTTCTTCCACTCTCCTGATGGTGACCTGATGGGGACCAGCCTCCCCTCCCCTCTGTTTAAGCTAGGGGATGGCTTTTCTACAGGAAGTCTCTAGAAGACAGAAGTGAAGCTCCCAAAGAGAACAGCAAAAATCTGGAATTTCCCCAAACATAGCTTATCAAAGGTCTCTCCACAGATGGTCATGGCTGGCCTCTTGCTTCTGCCTTGTCCCCTTTTCCATTACTCAATCTTGGAGGCTCTGATCTATGGGACAGGTGGGACCACTCGGGGGTCAGTGGTCCCCATACCATGTCTAGACCTCCTGCTCAGGACTCCAGTGGTTCCTCCTTCAATACTGTCCAGGTTATTGTTGTTGTTTAGTTGCTATGTCTGACTCTTTGCGACCCCATGGACTGTAGCCCTCCAGATCCCCTTTGTCTGTGGGATTTCTCAGGCAAGAGTACTGGAGGGGGTTGTCATTCCATTCTCCAGGGGATCTCCCAGACCCAGGGATGGAATCCACGTCTCCTGCTTGGCAGGTGGACTCTTTACCACTGAACCACTCTTTACCACTGGTGGAAGCCCAAGGGACCACCAGCAATTCTGGGGTTGATTCCCTTTCCAAAGGGAGAGCCTCCAAGCTAGACACCACACCCTGCTTTCACTGGCCTGACTTCTTCCAGGGACTGGACTCCGTGTGTCTACCCATGCGGGGTCACCTTTTGGACGGGCACAGCCCAGTGTCAACCCCTGCTGACTTTGTCCATGAAACCTCCTGAGTCAGTTATGGCTACTCTTGACTGCCCGTTGCCAGCCTAAGGACAAAGGGCAGGATCTGGGAAGATGCCCAAACTGGATAAGAGAGCTAGAGGCCAGCAAGTGCCCAGAGGCCAGCAGAACATCTGAAGGCCATCATGTCCATCTCCTCAGTTGACAGATAAAACCAAAATGCAGGCGGATTGGGGGATTTTTCCAAAAGTCACTCCGAGAATTAATCAGTGAGAAAGCTGAAACCAGAACTGTGCCTCCCTTACGAATATGCTCATCACACACCCAAGAGGATGCTGCTTCTGGATTTTCTAGAAAATGACCAGAAGGCCCTGAAGAACTGGCCTCGGTACAGGACCACAAATGTTGCTCCCTCTCCTTGGTTCTCAGTGTCCTTATCTAGAAAGGTGGATTGGAGAGCTGGTGTGCTGGGTTCCCCGGGTCAACTCCAATATGGGAGGGCTCTGTGACCCTCTCTCTTTGCAGCCAGCATATCTTCCCAGAGTGGGGACCTAAGTTCTAGCTGATCAGTGGAGCCTGGGGTCCCAGCTGGACCAAGGTCTGCCCTGAGGGCATGGGGTGTGCCTATAGCTACCCAATAGCACAAGCCTGAGTCCCAAGGGTCTAAAGCATCTCGGTCCATCTCTCATCTTTTATGTGCTTCTTATTTGCTCTTTTTTTCCCTGTCTTTGTTCCCTGTGCTCAGGTGCATCAGGAGGGGGGCCTGGGGTGGGGGGGACAGTGGAGGGCCTCTCACCATCACCGTGGCTGACCCCTCCAGCTCCGTGAGGATCCAGTCAGCCTGCTCCAAGTCCTGCCCCTCCACCTGGCACTGCAGCAACACGTCGGCCCCCACCTCCACGGAGGCATTGGACATCTGGATCTTCAGCGTGGGCTCACCTGGTGCCCAAGGGGTGTCAGAGCTGGGAGGGGCCTCCGAGTCCTGCCTGGGGACACTGGTCCTCCCCCAGCCCTCCCCAGTGACCCTGCCCCTGCCCCTCGACCTTCAGTCTCCCCCAGCTCTCTCCCCCAGGCCCCCCCTTCAGGGCCCGCCCCCTGAGCCCTGCCCAGTGCCCTCTCCCCAGGTGTGCCCCTCTTTCCCAGCCCCTCACACCACCTGCAGCACCTACCACAGCTGGCGTTGGATATGAGGGCAAGGGGCCCCTGCCCGGGACACTGCAGCTTCTGCTCCCGAATGCCTCCCCGCCCCTCCTCCTCCCAGCGCCGCAGCCAGAGCAGGGCACAGGAGCAGCGCAGGGGGTTCCCCGACAGGACTCTGGTGGGTGTGGGGGAAGAGAGAGGGTGGGGGGGAAGGGCAGATGAGAAGGAAGGTCTACAGCAAGAGGCAGTGCTGTTAGATAGCAGGGTGGACTGTCTAGAGGTGAAGGAGTGGGGACACAGGAGAAGTTCCTCTCATGGACCCTCTTCACGAGACATTGGAAGAAACAGAATGCCAAAAATCAAAGACAGCCAGCTACAGGCTATACAGAATTGCCCCACCCAGGCTCCCCAGGGTGGCAAGCCAGGTGAGGTAGGGTGGCAAGGAGGGAAGGGCATTCACTGCTTTCCAGAGTGACCCAAAGGCCTTAGGCACCTACCAAACACATCCCACTGCTGCCCACCCACCCCACGAGCTTGGTGTGCTAGGAATGTGGGCAGATATGCCCTTGTGCGCTGGCCCAGAGAACCATGCCAGCCCCTGGGCCTGAGAAACACAGCTCTCCACACCCCCCCACCCCAAATGTGCCCAGGGCAATAATCCCCGAAGTGGCTGCAGGGACCCACAGCTTCTGCTTTGATGGGGCAGGGGGGTGGTTTACAGACATGCATGTGGACAGCCAGACATGCCATCCCCACAGAGAATCCCCTACCCCCCCAACAGTTCCATGAAGACATAGTGACATACCTTCACAGAGACGTACAGGCACTCGAAGGCCCACACAGAACACACACACACACGCACACTTGCTGCCCTTGCCCCTGCAAGCTCCCACACTCACAGTTCCTGTAAGGAGAGGCCCTGGACCGTTTTCCAGGAGAGAGACTCCAGAGCGTTGAAGGAGAGATTCCTGCAGGAGTTGAGACAGAGCAGACAGACCCCCTTGAGCGACCCGACCTCGCTCTGACCCAGTGTGAGCGAGGGGAGGAGCCAGGAGAACGCTGACATCTGGCTCCCCGACCCGGCCCTGGCAACTACAGCTAGCCCGTGGGCGAGGCATTGGGGTGGGGGCACTGGTCAGGCTCTTTGAGTCCCATCTTCTCCCTGGGACAACAAGGGTTAACCCCACTTAACCCCCTCGCAGACCCCAGGGAGGAGGGGGTCTGAAGGAACAGCCGCTCCCCTTCCCCCACCCTTGGCCCCAGCTGGCAAAGTGCTGAGGCCCCAGCTGGGGGCAGGGGCTCCATCTGTGCTCCCACTGAGCCCAGGACGGGGCCAGAGGAGGAGGGGAGGACGGCTCCCACACTCGCTTGCCCTCTGCCGGATGCCTCGGAACTCAGGGTCCTGCCCCAGGTCCCCTCCCCACGCCTCCTTCCTTCCCCTCCTCAAGAACTGAGGAAAGGGACACCAGGCCCCCAACCCCAGCGAGGGGCTGGCTCCAGGACTCTGTGTCCTGCACGGGGCTGCCACACTGGGACCTTCGGCTGCCGAGGGGCCTGCCCTGACCCTTCTCCTTGCCTAGCGGTCTTTTGCTCTGTGGGGGCTGAGTTGGAGAGTAGCCACTACACAGGGATCATCAACAAGACCCATTTTTAATGCCAGGCAGAGCTGAGTGTACTTCTGTCCTGCCACTTACAGTTATATGACCTCAGCCCAAAATGTAACCTGGCTGATTCTCTGAATCCTCATCTACAAAATGGGGATGACACTACCTCTCTCACCAGGCTAATGGTGAAGATTCACTGACAATAAGTATTGTGAGGTGTCACTGAGTAAGCATCTTTAACTGAAGCCCCCAAACCTAGTCAGGGAGGTACCATCACCTTATCCTGTCGTTGTTGTTAAATCACAGGACACAACCAAGAGTTTAGAGTCCCCAGAACAACTCCATGAGTCACAGGCTCCCACCGCACTTCCCATCTCCCCACCTACCCGAGGTGGGAAGGAGGAAATGAATTCCTACCCTCAGGAGGCCAGAGGATGCTTTACCAGGGACTCTAAGGGTCTTTGGAGGTCTCTCCTGCCCACACCCCCTTCTCTACAAAAGGGGTACATGTGACCCCCAGGGGAGTGTGCCAAGTGACTGATCTGATCCCCCAGCTCCCAGGACATCCCAGGGGTCAGGAAATGGTTGGGAGACAGATTCCCAGTCAAAACCCAGGGTCCCACTCCTGATCCTTGCCCCCTTTGGACTGCTGTGTGTCTGAACCCCGGGAAGAAAACCGAGGCAGGCACCTATCAGAAGTGTCCTGCCCCATGAAGCATGGAAGTGAGACAGCAAGAAGGACCTTCTAGTTGGCAGGGGTGAGAGCTGAGAGGATCACCATCCCTGAAGTGGATGAGAAAAAGGCCCAGGAGAATAGGTGGGATGCCTTCCCTGACCAGGCTGGGGCCATCCTCAGAACAGTGCCCTGGGGAGGGCCAAGCCCATTAGCCGCCCAAGCCTAGGTGTCTCCCCAGCCCGCCATCCCCGGCCCCGGTCACTCACAGTCGACCGAGCCGCGGAGTGAAATGGAAGGCATCTGGCGCCACAAAACGGAGACCACTCTTCACGATGGTGCTGGGGAGGGCACGGTAGGGTCAACAGTGAGGGGAGCAGTTACCTGGGACCCCTCTCTCCACCCATGCCAGCCCCCCAGTCTCTAGTACTTAGCCCTCTCTCCACCCCCTCAAACACTTCCTCGGCAACCCTGGACCCCTGAGGCCACCAAGCTCTCTGACCAACCAGCCCCTCAGTCCTCAGCCACCCAGGCCCGCCCAGGCCCTTAGCACCCTTGGTCCTAGCACCCCCCCCCCAACCCTCTGGTCCCCCAGGCCCTGTGCAGAGGCCCTCACAGTTTCCTCAGCTCCCCCAGGCCCCTCAGGTCACTGAGCTTCAGCTGCTGCAGATGCTGCTGGTTCTCGATGTAGCTGTGGGGAGAGGGGATGGGAATCACAGGGGCCAGGCCCACACTCAAGTCCTCAGACCCACCTGCCTCCCTCCCGACCACATGCACCCACATTCACCCACAGGCATCCAGTCACACAGAGACCTGTTTACACATGCACACGTGCACAGGCAGGCCACACACATGCATCCACATATGCACGGAGACCCACGGCCTCACCCAGTCGCACAGTCATATGCCCGCGTCCTCACACTATCACACATGCATGCCCTCACACATTCAAGCACACACACACACAGAGATGTATAAAGACAGACACAGAGACGCACATCCTCACATACACCAGCATATGCATGCGTGAACCCACAGATGTCCCCATGTGCATGCTTACACTCTCCCGTATAGACAGACATAGCCACATAGCTCACCTAGGCACACACATGTACATGCATGTGAGAATGTGTGGGCATTATTCACATGCATAGACACACATGAGTCCATTTGCAGCCTGGCATCCTGCTTTTAAACACAGAGCCTCTCCTGCAATGCATAGCATTGGGGGGTCATGCTCAAACACTCGCTTCCATGAGGGGCCTATGTTCATCACTGTCACTGCCCCTCCCAGCACAAAGGAAGGCCTGGGGCCATGAAAATACGCACTCCCAAACACACCGGCTCAGAGACCACTGTCTGGGCTCACCCATACTCCTGGGCATGCGTTCGAGAGCATGCGCACACACACATATACACACACACACACATACCACCCTCTCCCCCTCAAAGCCACTGGCCCCTCCCCAAACTCAAGTATAAACACCTCCATTCTCCGTCCCCCCACCCTGGCATCTTTCAGCAAAGCAAGTGACAGGCATACAGGCTGTCAGTCAAGGACCCCTTGAGCCCCTCCCTGCCCCAGGAGGGACCCAGGGAGAAGAAAGGGGCCATGAGAGAAGGGAGTCAGAGTTGGGAATGGTGAAGAGGCATCGACTGGCTGTCTCACGCAGTGAGAGAGCAATGGGAAGGCTGGCAGGCGGGGGGTGTGCAGAAAAACAAAGACAGCGAAACAGAGACACCTAGGAAGAGGAACTGACAGGAAGAGACTGGCAGAGAGACAGAGACAGACAAGGAGAAAGACAGATAAGAAAAGGGAGACAGAGAGACAGAGAGATAAGCACAGAGAGCCAGAGAAAGCAAGATAGGGGGAAGAGAAAGAAAGAAGTAAAAAAGCAGGCATGCAGGGCTGGGGGATTTCTGCTGCCCTGGGGCCCTGCCCAGCTTCTGGATCTCACACGCCAGGGAGCTCCTGAGAAGTCAGCTGTCCTTGCAGGTGCACGTCATGCCCCCCCCCCCAGTCTCCCCCACCCCGGCCACACACACAGGGGCTCCTGACTCACTGCCTGTTCTCAGAACTCTCTCCCTCTGCCCTGTGCTTCCCTCAACCTGTGGGAACCAGGACCAGCCTGGATGACCCCCCCACACACACACACACACTGCCAGTCCTTCCCAGACTTGGCCCCTGGCGGACACCCAGGTGTCAGGTCATCAGTCCCCTGAGGTCTAGGGAGTAAGTTCCAGTGACTCTGAGAGTTGGTCCCTAACCTACCCACTCACCCCCCAGCTCCTGCCAAGAGAGCCCAGAGGTGTTGTGACCTAAGGAGGGGGTGAGGGACCTGGGGAGGGAGTGAGAAAGTAGGGTGGCCGAGTATGTGCAAACTGTCAGGCAGCGTGCTCAAAGCTGCCTCATTCGTTTGGATTCATAATCAATCTGTCTATTCGAGTCCATTATCTCCTCGTTAGCTCTGCGGGTGAAGGAGGAGGAGGGGACCTTGCAGATGGAGGCAGGGGTTAGACTGCTGCCCCACCCAGAGGGACAGCTCCACTCACACCCTGCATGGCTTCCAGCCCCCAGCCCCCACATGGCCACACTCCCCACTCCCACTTCCCCTCTGCTGGACGCACTAGGGGCTTGAAAGGGAATCAGGAAAAGAGAGTGCTGATGGGGAACATTCAAGAGCCTAGACCCTGCTTTGAAGACCCACAGTGATAAATGCACAGGACTGGGGGTGGCAGTCTGGACTTCAGGCCTCCCTCCCATCATGCAGAAACCTAGGTCCAGACCAAGACAAGGCCATCTCTCCTCCTGGCCTCCCTAGGGCCATTAGGGAGCGAGATTGAGTACCTTCCCGTTAATTACCACAAGATACCCGAGTAACTCAGTGCCAATTATCGTAGGCTGCTCAAGTCACTTCCAGACATTGATGGCCCCTGCCACAGTAGCCTTTCAGGCTATTACTGCATGAGGCCAGGGTTCCTTGCCCACTGTCTAACCCCAGGCCTAATAGGAGGAGGATATTCTAGCAGGTCCTTTCTTCTTCTAGAAGTCTTGCTGGCCCCACCAGCCACATAGAGTGCTCAAGTATTTTCCAGACATCATCATATGATGTTTGAGTATCTCTAAGCCAATTATTATAGAATACTCCCATAGGTTTCACCAGCTGCTAAAAAGTACTTGAGTATTTTGTAACCAATTAATGCAGGATGTCAGAGTACTGCAAATGTTGGTGATTCCTCCCAGTTTCAGGTCTGGAAGGGAGGAGAATCTCTCAGCAAGGGCCCTGTCTCCCTACCTAAAGTAGGGAGAAAAGGGTGGTGAAGGAGATGGGGATGGGGAGAGGGGAGCTTGGAGGGGCTCTCATTTCCTACCTCCAAATCAAGCCGTGGTGGGGAGGAGAGATGGTGGAAATGGGGATAGGAGAGCTTAACCACCAAGCTATGGTCTCTCAGCGCCTCCCACCTATTTCAGTTCAATTTCCAATTCAAGAGAGAAGAGCTGACTTTGCCTGGTCATGACAAGGAAGGGGATAAGGGTGGATTTATCCCTGGGAAAGGAAAATGGTAAGGGTACCACACTGGGGGCGGGGACTGTTCTCTGCAGATAATCACCTCCTGTATAGGGCAGAGGGTGGGCTCCTGGCTGAGCTCCACAAAGCGGTTTCTAGAAGGCTGGGCTCTCTCGGAGCTGGTCCACAGAGAGCCCCTCCTTCCTCTCCTCGAAGCTAGCACCTAAGCTGCTCTGAGCCCAGCGTCCAGGCAGTAACTGCGGAGGCTGTCAGGGCAGCAGAGGAAAACTAAGGCACAGCCGAGACTTGCGTGTTATCAGTCTCCCGCCGCACCCGCCCCTCCTGATATAGCACGCAAGCCATGAGTCCGCGCCCACGGGGCACGGCTATGCCCGCCTGTCCCCGCGCCCCCTGGCTCGCCAGACACTCACAGCTCCGTCAGGTTCTCGGCGCCTGGCAGATGGCGGAGGTTATTCAGGGTCCCCGGCCGGGTGCAGCGCAGCCCCGAAGGGCCGTGGGGGCAGCAGACATCGGGGCAGGATGCAGCGCCCGCAGATGCCAGCATCAACCAGGCCAGCAGGCTTCCCGGCCCCGTAGCCCGGAGGTGCCCGCCAGGTTGCCCGCCCCGTTCGCCTCGCAGCATCGCGACGGCGCCCGCCTCGCCGCGGCCGGGCAGCCGTCTGTGCGCTTGCAGCAGCCGCTGCCGGGCCTCCCGCGACATGTGCGCTGGGCGGTGTTAAAGACCAGCCGCCAGGAAAGGGCGGAGCCAGAGGCCCCCGCCCGGCCTCGCCCCGCCCCTTCTGCCTCCAACCCCGCCCTCTCCTCTTCTAAGTCGCGAACTCTGCCCCAACCCTTTCCCGAGCCCCCCTGCGCCAGCCTACTCCCCCAAGGTCCCCTCAGCTCCAGTAGATGCGGAGGGGCAGCCTCAGAAAGCCTCAGAGGTGTCTGCTGGGAATGGGGAAGTTGATACATTATTTTTCCCAGCCTAAAGCCGCTGCATTTAGCGGGGAGGGGAGATGACTGAGCTTGGAAACGGCGGTAGCCCAGGTCATCCTAGCCAGCCCCCGGCCTCAGATCACTACGCATGGTGCGCGTACCTGAGGAAGTGCATGTCACTTGGGATAAATTAGGGGAAATACTCCTAAACCCTAGAAAGAAATGGGGAGGGGCTCCCAAGGAACCAAACGCAGGGTCTGGAAAAGGAAAAACAGAAGAGACAGAAAGGGATGGTGTCGCCCCCAAACAGCCGGAGAATGAAGACTCGGGAACGGAGACGCCGATTTCCAGGAGAGACCACAGGGTGGCGCTGGCAGCCCGCGCGCAAGGGGTGAGCTCCGCCGGAGTTGGGTAGGTGGGGGCACGGTCTGCAGCCCCCTACTGGGCTGCGCCTGGCGACCCAGCGTCAGCCACTGACCCGGGCCAGCCAGCACTGGCCCCCAGGCAGGGTAGGGCCAAGCTGGGCTGGGCAGGCATCGATCGCCGCTCTGACAAGACCATCGATTTCTGCGCGGAGAAATTAATAGATCTTCTCTTAGCTCTCGGACACGGGAGCCGCCCGCGGGCGGAGCTGGGGACACGTCGGTCCAGGGAGGCCGTGCACCCTGGTCCCCAGCACCAGCCAGAGGGTGGGTCCCAGCCCCTTCGCCCCGTGGGCTTCATGCTTGGGAAAGGGGAGGGAAGAGGGGTCCTGGGGGAGGGACGCTAAAGGAACCCACGAAGGAAGCCCTCCGAGGGGAGAGTTTTCCCCACCAGGGCCCCAGAACACATCTTCCCCCCACCTCCCCATGACAGAGACAAAGACCGACCCACCGAGCAGCCCGAATTCATGAAGGTGACTTGACAGAGGCGGAGCCCACGGGGTGATTGCCCTTTCCACGACGATTTTGGTTGGAACCAAGGGACTTAACTGGGACAGAGCCTCGTGCCAAAAGCCTCCTAAGGAGGCTGCGAGGGCCTCGGAGAAGCGAGGGGCTTGGCTATTCCGGAGACGGGTCGTATAACTGCCAGGTTTCAAGCTCAGTTAGTTACCCCGCAGGTGTCAAGGCAGCGGGTGGCAGAACTCAGAACCACCCGTTCCCGGGGGGTGGGGGCTGCTTCCTGCCGCTCGGGCTAGCCGTGCGCCCCACCTGGGAGAAGTCCTCAGGGGCGGGGGTGGAGGGACCCACCGCAGCTGCAGAAGGGTTGGGGGGAGCTCTGTTCTAGGCCTACCATCCCCCGGTATTTTGGCCTTATTTCCCCAACAGATCTGTCCACCCTTGAGTTGTCAGGCTAAATATTTTGGCTTGACGGGAGAGGCCGAGAGAGCCGAGAGGTCCCAGTAAACCAATCCGTTGGGTCTGGGGCGGGGAAGCGGGAACTGGGCGCGGCCCCTGCGTGCCGCCCTGGGAGATACCGCGGCAGCGCGGCCAGCTGGCGCTGGGGAGCCGAGCGCGCCCAGAGGGATCCGGGGAGACTCTCCCCAGAGAGTCCCGCCCAACCCGGGACCCCCACTGCTCTCCTCGGCCTGTTCCCCGGGCTTCTGCCCCCGCCCTCGGGGTTGACCAGGCCTCTGGCGTTGTCTTTTGCTCAGCACCCCGTATGACTTTTTTCCCCTGGAAGCCTGAGTCTCCCGGTTGCTGTCTGCATCTCCGTCCCCATCTCTCTGTCTCCGGGTTCACACTGAGTCTCTGGCTCCAGCGGCCTGTCACTGTCTGTGTGTCTGTGGCTCTCATTACTTCTTTTCTGTCTCCTGCCATCTCTATGCAGGATCCTTTGTCGTTCTGCCCCTTCCCTTCCCTTCCCTTCCCTTTCCCTCTGAAGCCGGCATCTCTGTGTCCCTTAGGACCCGTCAGACCCTCTACTCCCTGGAGCCATCTGGACGGGAGCCAGGACTGGGCACCAGACAGGACCAGGACAATGGCAGTGCCCAGTCTGTGGCCATGGGTAGCCTGCCTGCTTGCAATCCTCTTCTCCTTGGGATTTGGCCTGGACACGAGAGAAGGTGAGTCCCTAGCCCTGTCTCCTGGAGCCCCATCTCCCTCCCAGCAGACTTGGAGGCCAAACACTGAATTTCCTCCCAGAACGCATCTATTTCCCTACTGTGACATGAAGACTGGGGGTAGCTCTCAGAAGGACTTCCCACCAGGGAAAGAGGTCATTTCTAGAACCGCTGAATGGGAAAGGGGGCCAGGATGGGAAGGAGCTGAGAACTAGGCACCATTAAGTAACTGAAGCCACTGTGCAGACAGGAAACTGAAGCTCAGAGGACTGAAAGGTCAAGCTAGACTGATGTCCTGAACTCCTGCCTCTGGGTCCTGTCCTGGGTCCCCCACTTTGAGGGCCCATCCATTGGGCTAGGGGGCTGCTTTAAATTAGTCCCCAGGCTAAACACTGTGTAGTTTGGGGGGATGGGACCACCTAGACGAAGTGGCTCTCATGGGGGTCCTGGGGACTTGGAAGGGAGAGGAAAAAATGCTGAGAGTGAAAGATTCAGAGATGGAAGGAGTAAGAGATGACCTTCTCCCCAAACCCACTGTTCCCTCCCAGACTGAGGGAGCTCAGGAATCCGGGGCTCTGTGCCTCAGGGGTCACGTGATGCCCTCAGACTGGGGGCTTCCAGGGGCAGAGCAGAGTCTCCCCTTCCTGTAGAGACAGAGGGGTGATGTGAATGGGTTGGGGTACGCAGTCCCCAGAAGACTGCTGGTTCCAGAGGCACTGCCTGCAAGGCCCAGCCCCACCGCCTGCACCCCTCCCCTCCTCCACTGCTGCCCCAGGACAGGGCATAGCAGATGCCAGCCAGGAGCACAGTTGTCAGGACAAGAGCACGCCCCTGGGATGTGGGGGAGGGAGGTGTTTGGTCAGGGGACCCAGATGTCTGGTTCCCAGTGCAGCTCTGCACAGGGCCATGTCTGGAGTGGAGGCAGGCAGGGGTTAACCTGTGAAGGTCGCTAGATTTGTTTTTCCAAATGACTCCCATCAGGGGAGCCCTAGAGAGGCCAGGGCATGATGGGAAGTGGCATGTGGGCTCCTGAAAGAACCCCCCATCTGCCTGCAGAGCCTGATTGGCCTTTGCCTAGAGGGACGAGAAGTGTTTTCTCACCCCCTCTCTTTGTGTGTGTGCATGTGTACCTCCAAGTGCTCAGACACACAGTTGCCGGCTAAAGCTGAGCACAGGGTCCATTAATGACAACAGGCAGAAGGCATGAAGTAAGCCCCAGGGAGCCAGCCCAGCCTGCCCACCCCCTTTAAAACATCAGGGGAGGGACCAGGGTATCCAAGACGCCTGCCATGTTGCTTGAGGGCTGGGTAGGAGGGGAGGGAGCGGACACTGGAGAGGTTAGCAGGACTTGACTGGCAAACCAGAAGATTCAGACCTGAATTCTCTGAGTGAGGACCATGGAAAGTATCCTTGGAAGAAGTGAGAACAGGAACCAGGTATCCAACCTATTAGGGGAATTGTCCTAGATGACTTGGGGAAAGAAAGAAAAATGGGGCCAGGGTCCTGGGATCCGAAAAAATCCAAACACACCCAGTTCCCTGAGGGAGGAATAGACTTGGGATCCAGATGCCATCGATTCAACTCACAACCCCTGAGTGCCCAGTGCTTCCTGCCCTGAACCGAGCAGTATGGTGACTGACAAGGGCTCCAACCACAGGAGAGTCCCTCCTTGGAAGTGGTGACAGAGACAGAAAGCAGTGTTGTGGCCATACCCCAGGTGATCTGGTGTGAGTGCTGAGCCTGAAGGGGAAGTGATTAACTCAGGGTCGGGGGTCAGGGAAGGGGGGCTTGACCTGAGGCTCTCAGGACAAGAACTGAGGGGTTAGTAGGCCAAGGAACTAAGGTATTAGTGGGGCCCAGTTTATCAACGCCCTGGAATGTCAGGCTGAAGAATTTAAACTTGAACTTTTGGCAATGGGGAGCCATGGAATGTTCCTTTGAGAGTAAACAGATGCTGGGACCAAGGTTCTAGCTTCCTTAGGCCTGGGAGAGAAGGGGAGTGTATGAAGCTCAGACTATTGCTTCTTAGTCACAAAATTCATTCATTCATTCCTTCATCAAATATGTACTGAGCACCAATTTTGCACCAAGCACTATATCAGGCACCAAGGACACAGCAATGAATTACATGGTCATCCCTGCCCTTCTAGAGCTCATAATAAACAAAATAAGTGGGTAAATTATATATTAGCCAGTGCTAAGCATTTGAAGAAAAACTAAGTAGGAAAGGGAGTAGGAGGTAATAGGGTGATCAGAGAAGTCCTCACTGAGAAAGCGACATCTGAGCAAAGACTTTCAAGAGGTGAAGAGCCTTTGAGAGGGAAGAGGGTTCTAGCCAGAGGGAGCAGAAGGTGCAAAGACCCCAAGGCAGCAGCTTGGCAGGCTTGTTTGAGAAACCACAAGACAGCCGGTGTCTCTGAAGAAGAGAGAAAAAGGGGATAAAGTGGGAGAAGTGCAGAGGCCCTGTAGGCTGTGGTAAGGACTTCAGCTTTTCACCCGTGAGATGGAGGCCACTGGGGTGTTGGAGCGGTAGAGGGGTGTGATCCAACTTGTGTGATGTGTTTCCACTCTGGCTGTGGAGTGGAGGATAGAAGAGAGAGGGGAGAGGGCGGAAGTGGGGAGACCATTTAGGAAGCTATTACTGTAAAGTCAGGAGAAGATGACGG